TCTTCCAAACAGCCATGCAAGTAGGCATTATCATACCCACTTTACAGATGAGAAAACTGAGGCTCGGAGAGGAAAGTAGTGACCTAAGGCCACCAAGCCAGGAAGTGATGAAACAAGATTCAGGCCCAACTCCAGGGTTGCTGGAAGGCTGTACATGGGTGCCAGGCAGGGACAAGACATGGTGGGGGACAACGGCAAGGCCAGGAAACAAAGATCGTGGCCCCCGGGGAATCCGTGCCAGGCAGCAGGTGGGCATTCCATAGGCTTGTGGTTAAGGTGGGTGGAGCTATAGATGCCTCTTGATAGCAACTGCCGCCAAATGCTGGGGGCTGGCCGTGGGCCAGGCCTGAGACCAGAGCTTTATCCCTGGTTCCTCTGAACAGCCCAAGGAGCACCATTCAACAGATGGGGAAGCTGAGGCACAACGAGGTGAAGTCCAAGGTCACAGAAGCAAGAAGTAGGAATCAGGAGTTGACTCTGAGTTCCCTTGCTCCAAAGGCTATGGGAGAGCAGGAAATGCGTCCTCTAGCTCTGGAGGGTTGAGAGGTCCTGTCCAGGGACAGGAGTGATGGCAGAGCCCAGATAGGACCCCTGTCCTCGGATGCCCCATTCCCCATCCCAGCATCCCACCGCCAAAGCAGTTGCTTGGGACTTTACAAGGTCTTTGTATGTCAGCTCATTTGTTTTTTTCCTAAGGAGGCAGGTGGGCATTTTAGAGGAGACCTCTTCTGATGGGAGGGCTGTTTGTTAATTGGCTGGTTCCTAAGAGCTCTGCCCTGAGGGAGATGCAAACTGAGCAGAAGAGGTGACCCCTGCCCTCCACTCATCTGCAAAGTGCCCTTCTCCAGGTGCTGGGAGGATAAAATTAGAATCGTGGGTTCTCTGCGAAAAGCCGGCGCGGGTGGCTGTCGTGATATCCCGGCTGCCTCAGAGTGGATCCCGGTGTGGGCAGAGGGGCCTGTTCTCAGAGGCTTTTTTAAAACCCCAAGGCTCCAAAATATCTCCCACAGTCAGAGTCCAAAATGCTTGACCTTCCACCCCCAGAGAGTCCCTGCTCAGTGTTCCTTGGTCCCCTTCACCCTGACTGTAGCCAATAGTGGCCAGGGTGGAGGTGATTTAAGGGCTCTTCACTGACGAGCAGCCGAGAACCTGTCATTTCTAGGGCGCCAGCCGGAGATGTCCGGGCAGGTCGGGAAGCGGTAAAGACCTTATTCGCCTTTGGTGATCTCTCCCGGAGCTAGTCCTGCCTCCTCATCCCAGCACCGAGCAACTCAGTGCCCCCGGCCAGGGCGGGCCGCCTGGGCCAGTTTTCTAGACTAAATGGCAGGTTGGAGCTGGAGGGAGTTCATGTTTCCACCCCTGTGGGACCCTGGCCCCATCATGAACGCCACTCCACATTCACGTAGGGGGCTCTTGTGGCATCCCAGGCCGAGTCCTGCCCCTGCCTCTTACTTTCCGCATGACCTGGGCACTTCACCTGCTCAGGCCTGTTTCCCCATCTGTCAAGTGGGAATTGCTCCACTTCCCTCCCTGGGCTGTCGTGAGAATTGTATGAGGTAAGTTGGTACTTGGCCCCTAAAAAGGACTCATGAGCCATCCCTCCATCCGCCCCTCCATCCCTCCGTCCCTCCGTCCCTCCGTCCGTCCATTTCTCCGTCCGTCCAGCGTTTGCTCATTAGCACCTGCCACGTGCCAGGCCTGTTCTGTTGCTAGGAGGCTGGTGAACAAGACAGGGCTCCCTGCCCTCCTAGAATCTACCTTTTGGGAAGGGGAGACTGATACAAACAAGCACATAAATAAGATCATTCCAGAAAGTGCAAGGAGCCCAGGAGTAAAAAAAAAAAAAAGGCTGATGCAACAGAGTCACGGGGCGGCGATATCTGAGCTGGCTTGTGTGTCACCCTACACCTAGGTCGAAGTAGGTCAGGGACCTCCGGGTCAAGAAGGGAGCCTAAGTGCGCAGCTGGGATCACGGTCGCTATGTGATCTTGGCCGAGCTACTGCAGATTTGGGCCTCAGTTTCCCCATCTGTGAATGCAGACCAAAGCATCCCTACCATGGGGTAGTGGTGAGAATTTAAGTACTACAGGCAAAGAGCTTGCCCTGTACACATTGAATAAATAAGAATTTTCAAATTCTATATAAATGAACAATGTCAATCAAAGTGCCAATGATAAAAGACATTTCAAAAGAGCCACCTGCCTTATGGATGCTGTAGGGTTGCAAGAGCTCATGGCCGAGGAAGCAAATGCTTTGACACCTGGTGCAGGGGAGGGATGTTTAGAGTGCTTGGTGCTCCCCCTCTGTCCCTGCCACTCGCTGTTACTGCCCTGCCGGTGACCCTGGGGAGCAGTCGGAGGACCGGCCACTCCCTGGCCTTGAGCTGATACCCAGGCCCCCACCTGCCTTTACAGCTGGGGGAGGGGGGCGGGGTGGTTGGGGGAGAGGGTTCACAGTGCCCAGGTCAGACCCCGGAGACGCGAGGAGCCCAGGTCGGTCCTCCTGGCCGGGGTGGGCGCCAGGTTAGTTCCACGACGACAGCAGGTGTTGGTCTGGTTGGTGTTTGTTTTTTCACTTTTTATCTGGAAATAATTCTAGCTTTAGAGAAGAGTTGCAAAAACGAGGACAGAGGTCCGTGGACCCCTCCCCCAGCGCCCCTAACGCTAACATTTAATGGAACCATGGCCCATGGTGAAAAGTAAGAAATGCTGCCAGTGCTTCGCCCACAGCCTGAGGTGGGCAGGGCAGACCTCGGGGGGGCCCCAGACATTTCTTCTGGCCTCCTTGAAGTCGCTTCCAATCCAGTTTTCCCTCCTCTCTCACAAGGAGTTGGCCCGGCCCTCCCCTCCCTGCCCCCGCAGTGGGGGGCCGACGCCCCAGATGAGACACACCTTCCCCAGCGCTTGGGCCAGGCTGGGCCTGGAACCCTAACTCTTCCTCTGCCCTCGCTGCCCCCACATCATCACTGCATTTCCTGGAGGCGACAGAGACTTGCCTGGGGCCTCTCTCTGTGGCAGGCTGGGGACATGGCATCTCAGTGACACTCAGTGGCAGAGGGTGGCGAACGCCTCGTTCTCTCTCGTTTCCTTGAGAGAACCACAGAGAAGGCACTCCCCTGGGCCTCCGTCGTGTCAAATGAAGGTCTCCGAAGAGCTGGAGGCTGAGCAGTGCCCCTGCGACCTCACAGCAAGGACCCCACTCTTGAAGGGCGTGGAAAATGTGGGCAGAGGCGCTCACGGTGGGAACTGGGCCCGCCCTGAGCACCTCATGTCTCCTAGTCGGGAAGCAGAGCGGGGTTTTCTTCCCTTTACGGATGCTGATGGCGAGGCTCAGAGAGACTAGGTCACATCGCCCGTGGCGGCAGAGCCAGGTTCAGAGTCCGGGCCGGCGACGGGGTCTTTCCCAAATACACCGCCTTGTTTCTGCCCTCGGGGTCCCCCTGCAATCCTTCCCCCCATCTTCTTTTTCCTGTGGGAACCTGCAGCTGCTTACGGGACTCTGTCAGAAGCCATTTCCCCCCTGAAGTTTTGGAGATGAGACAGTAGAAGACCCGCCCCCCTCCCCCACCCTGTGACAGTGACGTCTCTGTGCCTCTCTTACCCTTTCACAAACACATGTGGCCCCTCAGCATCGGGCACTGAGCTCAGGGGCGGGGCAGAGCAGTGAATAAGATGAGTGGGTCCAGAATCTTGTGTTCCAACAGGGGAGGCAGACAAGAGAATATGCGAGAAACACTCCAAAGTGCCTCGAGGGGGCGGGTGCCGTGACTATGCTAAAAAGGGTGCCAGATAAGAGCATTGCTGCTTTCACCAGAGGGGTCAGAGAGGGCCCCTGGGGAGCGACAGGTGGGCTGAGGCCAGGCGGGTGCGAGGCAGCTCGTTGCAAAGCCGTGTGAAGCCTGGGGAGTGTGCCCGGAGGAGCGAGCAGCCGGGGCAAAGACCCCGAGGCGAGCCGGCCCTCGGTGCGCCTGAGACCCAGAGAAACGCCCGCAACCCCAAGCACTGCCCACCACGCATTGCCCACCCACAACATGTGGTCCTCCTCACAAAGACCTCGGAAGCCCCGGTGGGGCAGGGACCATACTGTGCTCCCCTGCGTCTCCCCTCACCCAGAGGCCCTGCAGAGCCACTGCACCTCTCCGGGCCTCAGTTTTTCCTTTTGTAAAATGGGGTGACACCTCCCAGTTTCCTGAGTGCTCGGGCAGTTGCGTGAGCGGCTGTGTGAGACAGGGCTCAGCTAACTCTGAGTACCTATATGTGCTCACTTCTGCACACCGTGGGGCATGTCACACGCTCAGGGTCCCCTGGGGCCTGGCTGCGTCCCCTTGAGGAAGGAGAGCCCACAGTGGTTCCCAAATCTGGCTGCTCCCCAGCAGCACCTTCTAACAAATAGAATAACTCATCCTTTTCCCCAGGCCGCCTGAGGCAGAAACCCCAGGGCAAGGGCCTGCGATTGGTGTCTTCTTAGATTCCGCTCGTGGCCCTGATGGGCAGTCGGGGGACAACTAGACAGGTGGCCAAGAAAGGACTCAGGTGAAGCCATGGAGACTTGGGTCTGAATCCCGGCCCTGCTTCTTATGACTGTAAAAGCTGCTGCACCCTGGGCTTGTGTTTCCTCATCTGTAGGACGGGAGTAATGATAAAATGCACATTATAGGGTTAGCGACAGAATCCAATAAGATGTTGTACATAGAGCACTTAACCCAGTGACTGACGTGTGATAAACATTCAGAAGACCATCATTGCTGCTGTTACTGTAATTACTATTAATAGCCTGTGGGCCGCATGGCATCGTGAAGTAAAAGGTACGGCAGGCTCGCCATCTCCCCTGTCACCTCATCCGTTCATTCATTCGTCCATTCCCGCACTTGCGCGTCCCATCACGCCGGGACTTCATGGGAACGCCAGGCGGAAGCCCCGTGCGGGGGCCCAGCGCGCAGGCCGCGGCCGTCTCTGCGGCGCTGCCATCCTCTGACTCGTCTTTGTCATTTTCTTTTGCAGAATTCTCCACTCTGGTGGCCGAAAGCTAAGAGGCGTGGACACCCCAGGCCTTCCACCTCTCTGCCCCAAACCCCCAATTTCAGCCCCTCTTGCTGCCCTCCTGCGTTTCTGTTCAGTTTGTTTATGTTATTTTTTACTCCCCCCTGTCCCCTGTCGGCCCTCGAATGACACCGTTCTTCTGGAAAATGCTAGAGAAACAATAAAGGCGGTACCAATTGGATTCTGCTGCTCCAGAGGATCCAGGCCCGCGGGTTGGCGGGGAGGGGGCTTGGGTCCTACCATGGCTTTTCAAGCACGCTGTGCAGGGGTGGGGGCAGGATTTAGACAGAAAAAAAATGGAGTGGAAAAGAAATCTACCGAGCCGCTCCTCTGCCGTGGGTACTGAGCACAGCACTGCACATGGGTTGCCCATTGGTCCTTGAAACCACCCCCTGAGGTCGGCGATGAAACTCCCATTTTACAGGCCCTTAGAGGGCGGGATGTGCCTAAGCACACAGCTAGGACCCGTGGATGGGTGGATGGATGGATGGATAGATGGCTGGATATGCATTAAAATTCTTTGTGTTAAAAATGACAGAAACCCAACTCTTAGTGACTTAAGCAAAAAAGGAAGAAAAAAAAACAAAGACTTGATTGGTTCTGTGCCCATATGGTCCAGGGTAGGTCTTCAGGAAGAGCTGGATCAGGGGACTCAACGGGTGTCGCCAGGATCAGCCCTTCCGTCCCGGCCCTGAGCGCTGCTTTCCACTGGGGTCCCTCGTGGCGGCAGGACCCCTCAGCAGCTCCAGGCGTGCGTTCAGCAGCACCGGTGAAGAAACAAAAAATAGAAAGGAGCTCTCTTTCCCATTCGCTGCATCCGAAGGCCCCGAATTTCATTCCATTAACGCCCATAGCTAATGTTTACTGAGCACTTGCTCTGTGCTGAGCCCTTCCCATGAGTCCAACTGCACAACTACCCTATGAAGTGGGGACCATCGTTGTCTGCATTGTACAGATGAGAAAACTTAGGCACGGAGAAGTTAAATGTTTGCTCAAGATCATGCCGCAAGCAAGGGGTAGAGCCTGGACCTCTAACTCCACGGTCACCTCTAGAGCCTGCGTTCCTCCCCGAACCAGTCGCCGATGGGGGCCCTGATTGGCCCATTCTGGGGCTGCCCATCTGCGGAGACAGGTGGCGTCGGTCACACCAAAAGCTCACGGCCTGAGAGTTGGGGAGAACGTCCCACTGGAAATCGGAGGTGGGAACAGGAGCTGGGTGGCAAGCGCAGCAGCAGCCCTGCAGGATGGTTTCTGCTCTTCCCACGACAGCCTGGGGGTGGGAACGGAAGTGGCCTTCTCCCTCCTGTGGGCTGGGTTTCCATGCCCCATAGAGAGCGGCGCCCCTGGGCCTCGCCCAAGCCCAAGGGGTTGCCAGGGTGGGGCCATCAGGGAAGGCACTCACCGAGGGCAAGGCCCGGAGCCTCCCCATCAGGGGTCAGGCGGAGGGGCAGGAAGGGGCAGCCTACCTCCCTGGGTGGTGGTCAGCAGCCCAGGCCTGCGAGGGGCCTGGGACCAGAACTGGGCCCCCTGCCGAGGGCTCAGCCACGGGGGCTACAGGCTGGTCTGCAGGAGACGCCGTACCTGGGCAGGCAGGCGGGAGTGCGGGGACATTGTACATCCATGCCTGTGACAACACTCAGGACCAGCGTCAATCAAGGTTTTACACGGGGCCTATAGGGCCTGACTTTGGTCACTGAGGACGGACAGGGTGGGGCTGGGCAGCCAGAGCGTGTGTCCTGGAAACCAGTTCAGGGCCTGCAGGAAGGACGGGCAGGTCAGGACAGGAGTGACAGCTGCTACCGCCTGCTGGCCTAGGTGGCCTTGAGGGCCTCTGGCCCCACATCCAGATGACAGCCCGCACAGTGTAGCTCGGACTCAGGGCAGCGCGAGGGAGCAGCCCAGCATGTTTGAGGGCGGGGCTGCTGGCAACACAGGACCTGGGATCCAGAGCCTTCAGTTTGGAAAGGATTAACCTGGAGCCTGGGCAGGTCAAGGTCAGGACAAGGCGGGGTGCCTTGTGGGGGAGGGAGGGCAACAGCAGGGCGGTCAGAGGGTGTATAACAAACAGCAAAGAGACCTTGACACAGGACGGTCAGAGACCAAGCCCTCCCCCGCCTGCCCCCACATAGTTCCCCACTCACCCTGCTCCCTCGAGCTTCCTGTCCACTGCTGCCCCTCCGCCCGCTGGGAGCCAGGCCCCGCCACAGCCTGGGTCGCGACTTTGGGCATCTCTTCCAATGAGGCGTTGCCCCCGGTCACTGTTTGTAACTCAGGTCTGGCCTCTCTATAGACTGGGACATTTACCACTGGGTGGCAGTGCCCTGGCTTCAGCCGGGCTTGGGGAGCTGCTGGCGGGAGCTGTTCCCACCCCCGGGGCCAGCATGTGGCCTCCTAGCCAGCCCCTGGCCTCCTAGCCAGCCCCCCGCCTCCTCTCCCCCTCCCCAACCCAGGGCTCTTTCCAAACACATCTGGTCACGTTGTTCTTCTGCTTAAAACGGTCCAGGGACTGCCTTACTACAGAATAAAATAATTCTATTTTATTCATTATTTTATAATATATTTATGAGAAATTATTCTATGAGTCATCTTACAGCATAAAGACCCAGGCACAGCCTTGCCCACCCGCAGGGCTGGCCCAGCCTCTGTCTCCCACCAGCTCCCAACAAGGCCCTCTCTCTCTGCGCCCCCCTCCACCCTGTTCCCTCAGCCTGGACCTTCCTGCTCTCCCTGCCTCCCACTCCCTTTCCCTGGCTCAGTCCCAGCCACCCTCAGTGAAGCCGCTCAGAATGGGTGCCCCCTGTTGGGGTTAGAGCCCCTGAATGTGCCCCCCTCCCCCAGCAAGTACTTATTCCAGGTGAAATGGAAGGAAAAAGTGGGACAATCTAATTCACAGCCATGTCTCCCAGAGATCATAAGATGCTCCAGGGCACATCTGTGGGGGGCAGGGGTTCCCTGCTGCTTCCCAGAGCTTGGCAGACAAAAGGGTGACATGACCCAAATGTGGAGGCAGAGGCCCAGTGTGGCCTGGGAGCCACTAAAGGCCACAAAAGAAGTGCAGAGCAGGACAGGGACTGGCCCCCCAGCCTCCTGCTCCCCGCTGCACAGAGACCTTCCCACTTGGCTCGGAGGGTGGGGCGGGGGCGGGGGGGGAAGCCTTCCCGCCCAGCACCCCCTCCGCAGGCCCCACGCCCCAGAGTCCAGCATCCGCCAGGCTCCAGTCACCTGTAGCCCAGCCCCGTGTCCCCACCTCCACACTCCCGGCCTGGCCTCGGTTTGCTCCTCAGCGGAACAGTCTCCTCTTCTTCATTGTTATGCTCAGAGGCGCCTCATTCATTATCTAGTCCCCCTTCTGTCTGGGAGAGGCTGGGAGCAAGGGGGGTGGGGGGGGGCGGGGGCCAGGAGGAGGAGCCGGCAAATCGGTTCCTGAGTGGCTTTTGATAAGAGTGGGATGAGCCTGCGTGGGGGCAGAAGGCTGAATGATGGGCTGAATGTCCCGCAGCGAGGAGAGGGTGCAGAGGGGCAGGTGAAGAGGGAGCGAGGGTGGTCAGAGGGAGGACTGGAGGCGGGAAGAATGGATGAGGAAAGTGGGGGTGGGGGCCCTCTCCTCCCCAGCGCTTCCCAGGGCTCCCAGACTGAGCCGCCTCCCCAGTCTGCCTGGTCTTCCTTGGCCGGAGTACCTGACGCTTAGCGTCGCCCCCTCTCACTGCGCATGTGCCCTCCACGGAAGAGAACGGTCTCTATTTCTGCAGGTGGAAAAAACTAAGGTTCAGACAGGTTAGGTAACTCTCCCAAACCGCACAGCTAATCAAAATGAAAATAGACAATGAAAGCACTTACTCACCAGCTCAACCAATAATTTTCCAAGCGCCTCTGTGTGCCTGGCACCAGCTCAGCGCTTTGGAAGCGTTACCTGATTGGACCATCATAGTCCTTGTGAGAATTCTCCCCCAGCGCCCAGGCCTCTTTCTCTGCCTCGGGCTGACTGTGGCGACCCCCGACCCCCAGTGCCCCTGACAGTCCTCGCTCTACAGGAACAGCCGAGAAACTTCAAACAGGGCGACTTTGCAGTTCGAGTTCATATAGGAGTCAGGAGGCCATGTACAAGGGGGAGTTCAGGGGTTGGGACAGACGTCGGGAGCTCTCTGCCCACTTGGCATCCTTCTCCACTGGTCCAGCCAGAGAAGGGCCTGGGCAGCTAGCCAGGACCCTGAACTAGGTTGCAAAGGGCCCTCTTTTGACTTACCTTCGCTTCTGCCCTCCCTGTACCTTCTCAGGTGAGGGGTAGAAGACTGGCCCTCATCTTTATGAGGGTCAGGGCTGGGTCTCCCAGGAGCTGAGGGCAGGCTGCCGCACGTGCGGTGGCACCCAGCCAGGATGCCTTCATCCTCCTTATTTTCCAGGTGAGGAAAGGGGGCGTTCGCTGTCTTGGCAGGTTCTCCAGGCCCCATTTGCTCGGCCCCACTCTTTGCCTGATGGGGACAGAGACAGGATTCAAACTTTAAGGAGTCTGGACCTGAGCCAGATGCCCATGCGTTCCCTCTGCCTCCCCTACACCCCCGCCGGGTGTCCTGGAAGCGCCCCTGGGCCTTCCCGCGCTTTTCACTCATTCTTTTATCCAGCACTGCTTTGTACTTCCTCTCTCTCTCTCTCTCTCAGCGCTCAGACTCCTTAACAGCCTGCAAAACCCTTTGCATCTGGCCCCATCCTATCTCGCTCTTCCCCCTCTTACCTCTCTGCCGGTAGGCTCCTCTTTCTCCCCATCTGACTTAGCCTCCAGCCCCACATCATCCCCTGCATTCTCTGCTCTAAGTAGATCGCACGCTCCAGCCCTCAGTATGCATATCCCCTCTCTCCCTCTGGGCCTCCACCCAGCCCTTCCCTCTGCCTGGACCACTGTTCCTGCCTGGCGAACCCTATGCAAGGCTCCAGCCTCAGCCAAACGAGGCTGCCTCAGAGAAGCTTTCTCCGTTCCCACTGACACCCAAGTTTAGTTGTTCATTTTTACTTATGATGCTTTATTGAGCATCTACCGTGTGCCAGGCCCTGTGAGGGTCCCACAATAAACAAATAAGATGAGACCTGCTCTTGCAGAGCTCCCGTCTGAGTGACTCTGGCTTTGCGCTTTGTGCTTCCTTCAACGCTCACTCGGCCTCATGTGCATTGCTTCTCTAATAATCTATC